CAAGCCTTAGGATGTTTAGTTTAATTTATAATGTTTGAACGTAAGGTGAGAGGTTGTCCCTTAGATAAATTCATCCGGGGAATGCCCGTGGACTTTGTAAAAATTTTAACCCGGGGAATGCCCCGAAGTAAATGTAAATAGAGGTCATGGCATCATCAATGGAGGCGTAGTACAGGCTAGGAGGACTTATTTCATTTTGTTTTATTTTTCTTTTATTAGGAAGGGACGACCTCACACCTTTTGGATGTTTATTTTCCTTTGTGTGTTTTTACCTCAATTCGAATATTCTAAAAGCCGACCAGATCAAGTATGCAATCGTATTAGTTACGGGACTTGGGGAATGCCTAACACCTTCTCCTCGAGTCAAATGAACCTCCTTACCCGAATCTCTGATGCAGACTTAGTTTTGGAATCTCAAGTATTTTGAAAGAAAAAAAATTATCTTTAGAAAAATGATGACCTGATACACCGAAATCAAATGTTAGGTGACGACTCTGAGTTATTTCCTTTTGAACACAATTTTTGTCACTTTCTAATTGAAAAACCCTTTTGAGCTTTACTAAATCATTTTATTTATAATAAGAGGTTTAGTGAGGTTTGTTAAAAAAAGGTGTGACAGGAGGTACCAATTCCCGCAAATACAACCTGGACTTTTGTCTTGGTATATTCTTGATGTTGTGAAAAACCAAAGTTCTGCCCTGGTTCCTAACGCCTCTGTTGTCTTCCTAATGTCCCGACGATGATGCCTAACCGCTACTGCCCTTGGAAACCTGAAAGGGTCCGAAGAAATGGCTGCCCAGAGTTTTTGGTACCGCTGGTTGAGGACTGAGTGTCGTTACCTGTGTGGGTCGTGGTTGCCGGAGACTGGTCTATGGTGTTTGGGTATTTGCCGGAAGACCGAATCTAGAAAAGGGGGGGAAGAAACAAAGAGAGAGATCGCAGAAGGGAGAGAATGTAGAAGGAGAGAGAAAGTAAGAAAAAAGAGAGTTACCTAGGCGGCTCTACGCCAATTTTATCAATAATTGTATAAATATAAATTACATATATTATATAATATATAATGATATAGTAATACTTTATATTTTGGCGAAATTTCTATTATATAGAAGAGCAAAGATGGTCGACCATGGGTAAAATTGACATTTCCCATTGTCATAAAAGTGCTTAAGTATAAATTGCTCACTCCAGTATCCTCCCTTCCACACAATTTGGTCTAGAACCATCTTCTCTTCTATTCNGAGGAATGTCTACGTGTTGAATTTTTCGGATTCCCGGATGCCATTGTGCACTATTAGGGCTTTTTTCGGATTCCCGTTTATTATTTCATTCTTATATATAGCTTTTGCTCAATTTCATCTCAAAGTTTGCCCCTTTTGTTCCTCAGATTCTGTATTGCGTACTGTTGCTTTTGTGTAATATTTTCCTTGGTTGTTGTTCTTCTTTGGTGACATATTATTCTGCCTTTTGAGGGAAGGAAAAATTAAAATTTTAGTTTAGGCTGAAAAAGCCTTTTGTTGCTTTGATATAGTTTGCCTTGCTATTTTTAGTGTCATGGTTTATTCTTCTCTTCCAACTTTCCTTTGCTACCTAAGAAGTAGAAAATAGAGAAAACGAATACCAAATACAGTACAAAGGCAGATTATAAGTTGTCTTATTCGGGAAGAAACTCAAATCAAAATGCATTTCAAAATACCTATCAATAAAAATCATAGCGTCTTTTGGATATGATTCCATGGAGTAACTCACATGTTGATCCTACATCACATTCAACATTCAAAGCTTTTCTCTACTTTTACTGGTGTTGATGTTTCAGTGGCAGATAAATTCAACAATTCCTACCTTTCTCATTTATTTCTACTTCCATTAAGCAGACTTCCACTCATACTTGCAGTTTGCATTTTCATCAGACAAACTGATGATAGTACGAAGGATGAATAATTCTTTGTTTCCACCTTCCGTTAGTTTCTTCCATTCATTTTTTCTGTTACTAATTCTCTCTGGAATCATAAAAATGATCAAATTGGAAAAAATCATGATGACAGAAGGTTTAGGCGGCACGAATAATATAGACTGATGTCACATGACAAAAAAGCCCTTTTAATGCAACGATGAGCAAATAGAGTTGAATTAAAGAAGGAATTTTTGTTGCAATGCATTTATTGCATGGTCGCAATAACACTCTGCATAGATGAGCATAATTAGCTGAAATATTACGAATCATTGGTGTATTTTAATTCCTTGTTCAATTTGAACTGAATCTGAATAGTAAGAATGTTCCTATGTACAAACCTTCAGTATATATATTATGCAGTTCCTCTTTACTCTTGATTAGTAAATTTGGCTTTAGCATTTTTTACATGTCAAAGAATAATTTTATCTCTGCAGGAGAATATTCATGTATGATGGTTTTAAGCACTGGTTGCACGATATAGAAGCCTAGCAAAAGATAACGTTAATATTCTGTCTAATATCTTCACTTTTTCACGTCAAAATTTCGTTATTTTGGCTTTTGCTTAAATGTTATAGTTGTTTTCATAAAGAGGATATTTGTGAAATTGAACGTCGCATCATAGAGATAAATACAACAACAACAACAACCCAGTATAATTCCACTTAGTGAGGTCTGGGGAAGGTAGTGTGTACACAGACCTTACCCCTACCCTGGGGTAGAGAGATTGTTTCCAAATAGACCTCCAGCATCATTCCCTCCAAGAACTTCCCACCTTGCTCTTGGGGAGACTCGAACTCACAACCTCTTAGTTGGAAGTGGAGGTTGCTTACCATCAGAGCAACCCCTCTTGTCCGCACCATAGAGATAAATGGTAACTTGAAATAGGTTTATCTATTGATTGCATGAATTTTATGCTTAATACTCATTTTCATCTCTTCTACTGTAGGTGCGCTTTAAAATACATATCCTGCATTTTGATATTGCAAATTTTGGAAGAAACTTTACCATGTAAATTCTCGAAAAAGCTACTTAAAATATCAACATCTCCTAATAGATAACTGCATAAAGAGCTGATGCATAAGTTTTAACCCAATTAGATGTACCCCTTTTCTAGATTGGTTAATCTAGAATTCTTCACTTTGATCATCTACCAATCTTGCTATATATTAAACTACTATCTGTTGTTACATAATATACTTTCGGATCGATTTGTGGCAAAAGCTACGTTTTATTTAAGTTTTGAGATTTTTTTAATTTTTTTAGATGAAGTTAGTGGCCAGGCCAAAGCAATTAGCAATTGAAAGGTAATTCACAATTGATAGAGTTGGAGGGACAACAACAACTAGCAGGTAAAATGGTTGTGACTATTCCTATCAATTCTACTGGATAGTGAGTTCACTTCAACCCAACTCTCTTGGAATGATGCTGTAACACATGATGTTGACGTAGTACCTTTGTCTAGACAAGAAATAAACTATGATGTTACACATCAATATCAGGTCTACAGTGATTTAGAAAATATTACATGTGAATGAAAGGTTGTGAAATTTGAGAAATCTCATGAGTACATTGAACTACGGGAATAGGCCATAAGAGGATATACAGCTTTTTGAAAAGGATGTTAGGAAGATATGCAAAACATTGAAGGTGCATACTCTACATATTGATTGTTGCTACTTGTGTTGATACATATACTTGAAATTTATTTTATTCTGGGATCTGATAAAGAGTAATGGAGATGTCTGGCATAAGTTTCTAATTCATTTGGGACTTGGAATATTGGTGTTCTTCTCGCACTTTTGTTTCTTACTCCAGTATCATTCTTCTTCCTTCTTGTTTTGTATATATGGTAAAGCACCTAACATATTTAATTTTCTTTTCTAGCCTGGATTTGCAAGAGCGAAAATTTGGTGCAGCTTACCATAATTAGAAGCCCCAACTAGAATTCATGACATTTAACTTCTCAATGCATTGTTGGACTTTTTATTTTCTTTCAAACTCTGTTTTTATATTTATTTTTCAATTATTATGGATATCAATATGTGAAGTCATCCACTAATTTCTCAAGTGAAGTACAAGTATCGAATTAGTTCAAAGTGCCTCCGAGAATTATGTAATCCCTTTGAATTTATATGCTAAGAGGATAAAGAAATATTTGCAAACAGGATGGATTATGTTGATCACTGTGGAGTACATTTGTGAAGTGCATTGTCCTATTCTCTTCCATTCATGTTCTATTTTGTTTAAGAATTCTTTATAGTTATGAAAAAAGGGGCAACACGGTGTATTAAGTTCCCGTTATGCGCGGGGTCCAGGGAAGGGCCGGATCACAAGGGTCTATCGTACACAATCTTACCCTGCATTTCTGCAAGAGACTGTTTTCACGGCTCGAACTCATGATCTCCTGGTCACATGGCAGCAATTTAATATTTATAAAATGTATCACAAATAAACGTAAAAAAGAATGCCAAGAACAAACTGAAAATGAAAATAAAAACATACTATTGATTAGGTTGTGGTTGGACCTGTGAAAACATATTGCCTAGGTTGTGGTTGGGCCCATGCTATGCATGGGCTGTTCATATCTAGTATAAGGACAATCCCTTAAAGTTGTTTATACTTTTTACTTAAATACTTCATATCTAGTATAAGGACACCTTAGTCTTTACTGTGTCATTAGGACTAGGACTGTTCAAAACCGATCCGAAACCGAAAACCGATCCGAACCGAAGCTTAATGGCTTACTGGTAACGGCTTAACGGCTTAACGGACGGGGAACAGATTAAATTTTTTTTATTAACGGCTTATCGGTTTGGGGGCGGATTATTCAATTTTCTTAACGGATAATCCGTTAACCCGTTAAGAATATAAATATATATATATATATATTTTTATATAAAACAAACTCATATTAGATATATAAAAAAAAAGTTGAACTTGAATAATAAAAAAACAAACCCATGTGGCCATGTATACTAAATTACTAACCCATGTATTCTAACTTCTAAGACTAAAACAGTAAAACTATTAAACTAACGCACTCCTCCTAATTCCTATCCTAATCCAAAGAAACCAGCAGTCCAGGCGTCCAGCAGTCTCATTCTCATTTCTCAACCATAACGCCCAAGTCCTAACGACAGTCGACAAAAATCAAAATCACAGAAACCCAACCCTAACGCCTAAACCAGCAGCCACCGCCCACCAGTCGTCGTCGACTTCCACCACTACCAGGCACCAGTCTCATTCTCTCCGTCTCGCCTCTCCTTCTCGCGGCTTCTTATCTTCTTATCCAGGTACTCTTACTTATGATTCCCATCAAAATCAACATTATCAGGAGTTTGTTAGTCATTTTTTTCTTTTCAATTTTTTTGTTGTGGAAATGTTGTCTCTCTGTCTCTGGCCCCCGCTCTGGCTCCAGTTGTTGTGGATGAGAAGGCAAAGGGTGTGGTGAATAAGGAGAAGAAGAAGGAAGGGTTTAAGACGATTATTGCACATGGTTATTCTTTTATAATTACAAATACTTTTTGTTGTCTCTAGTAGGTGGAAGAAGTCCAACAGATGCTTTTAGTAAACTTGAAGGTAACCATCTATGACAGCTGAATCAAAATTTTGCATTTTATGACAAATTATGCCCCAGTTACTAGAACATTCTGTTTATATATCTAAGGGAAGTGATGTAAAATACTATAATTAGAGTATTCGTTTGTCCAAAAAAAATGTATTCTGGCAAAGCAAATTGAATGCATCATATTGCCTCTGAAATGTTTTTTTTTATGGCAATTCATTATTTCTAAGACGAGGAGAATGGGAGATATTTAGTTAATATGTATGTTAGCCGTTAGGCCGATAAACCGCCCGATAAGAGCTAAACCGATACCAATCCGTCCGATATCTTATCGGGTGGCTAACGGATTAATACATTTAAAAGCCGAAAACCGTTAAGCCAAACCGTTAAGAGTAAAAAGCCGCCCAATCCGCCCGATAAGCAGCCCTAATTAGGACCCGAAATTAATATGCAATAAAACATAAAAAATGCGTGTAATATGGAGTAACGAATAAAAAGAAGACATTTAATTTTTTTTAAAAAAGGTTTTAAATAAAGAAGAAAAACAAGAACCTGCCCGAAAAAAGGTTCTGCCGCCGTCCACCCCAACCCTTCGTTTTCTTCCCCGGCGACCCTCCTTGTTCCGTCTTCTTCTCCGGCGAAGAGCTTCACTTGCCTTACCCTAGAGCCCCTTGATTTGGATACCACGATTTATGCTTATTTTTGTCCCTTTTGCAGCTTGAGAAAGAACACAGCGAAGTTATCAATTTGCTTTGACTGCCGGCTGCAAGAGTATTATTATTTTAGTCGTGATAATGGAGCCTAGTGCAGATATTAACCTTGATACAGACATCTGGAGGTAATTGATTTCCTAATCCACTTGCTTTTTTTGCTACTTAAACAACTGTTGTCTTTGGTTTCAGTTGAGAATATACTTTCGTAGTTATTAACCAGAAAATATCTGGACTGCTTGTGTTAATAGTCTGAATGATCAAGATAGCAATGCAATTATATTGCCAGAGAAGAAAAAGAAGAAGACAGAAAAGGAACAGGTATAAACAGAAAATCAATATGTTATACATGTTTGAACGTCTTCACAGATGACCGATTGCTTTTATTTTTTTCATATCAGGTATCGAAAAAGCTTAAAACGAAGAATAACATTAAGTTAAGTCAATCTCAAAAAAAAAAGCTGAAGAAACTCGAGGTAAGTGCATCCAGGAATGTTCATTGTTTTCTTATTTTGTTAGTACTACTTATTCTTGTCATCTAGTTTTTGGACTTTGAATAATTCAGTCTTCTCAAATGTAGGAAGACAAGGAGAAATCAATCCTTTTAGCTGAAAGCATTAAGACCTTGAAGTAAGAATTCTCCTCATTTAGCTTGGACAGCTTTTCTCTTTAAGTATTCAGGAATTTTTTTTGTTGGATAATGATAAATAATTCCCATTTCAGGAAGTATCAGATCCAAGATGATCTTTATCCACTTATGTGGTCTTCAAGGAACTTGGGTCAGGTTTGTGTAATTGTCCATATTTACTTTACATGTGATAGGTTGTTAGACTTTAGCTCTAAAATCATGCCCCGTATGCTGTAGGGTGAAACTAGCCGAGAGAAGCGTAGGAGAGAAGTGCAGTTTTCTAGGGCAGGGTTGGAAATGCCACATAGAGATCGACCAGTCAAGAAGAGGACAGCCAACAGCCTAACTAGTGATGTCTTGGATGATTCTAACAAAATGAAGTCGAGTCCAATAGTCAATAGCAGTCTTTTGCAGTCCTCCTTAGGAAAAGGTGAAGTCCAAAGTGAAGCACTGGTCACTCCAGGGTCTCCTGAAGAGTTGACTTCTCAGAGTGGACTTTTAGTTTGCGGAGGAGATGCTTCGGTGCAAAATAAGCAAGAAGAGGATAGAACTACAGAATGTTTAAAGTCAGATTATCAGCAAGATCATCCATCTATTTGTGATTGTCATAACGAAGAACAGAGGAAATCAATGGTATTGCTTCACTCTCAGTTTATACAGCCTTTTATTTTGTGTCAACCATATACTTGGTACCTAATTTTCGTTGAGGCTCTCTCATATGCATGTCATCCTTGTTCTGTGTGGGCACTTCATATTGAACAGGATGGTACCAAGGATATTCAAAATGCCATTCTGAGCAATAGTAGCAACTCGGCTAACAGTCTTCCTCAGAGAGCTTTAACAACTCCAACTGTGGTGCACGTTTTAAGACCAAAGGAGGTTGAAAATAAGAGGAGCGATCTGCCGATAGTCATGATGGAACAGGAGATAATGGAAGCTATAAATGAGAACACGTGTGTAATAGTTTGTGGTGAGACAGGTTGTGGTAAGACAACCCAAGTTCCTCAGGTGAGATATTCTATTGTTCTCTATATGCTTCCTGTGAGAAAGCACGAGAGAAAATATTATTGATATTGTTCTTATATGTTAAACATGATACAATGAGCCCTATATATATATATACATAACATGTCCTACTCCTAATACATATGTGATTAGGGTTATTTACTACTATTTAGTATTTACATAACTATTCTAACACTTCCTTTTCCTTCGGTTGGTAATATAAAGTTCTATTTATTTCATTCTTCCTTAATTTTTAGTTTTGTTTTAGTGTTTTTATCTCTTGCTTTTGGTTTGGGATCTTTCAGTTCCTTTATGAAGCTGGCTATGGTTCAAATCATTCCAATGGTCGTGGTGGTATTGTTGGTGTGACTCAACCACGCCGTGTTGCAGTACTTGCAACTGCCAAACGAGTGGCATTTGAGCTTGGTTTTAGTCTTGGCAAAGAGGTTGGTTTCCAAGTTAGACATGACAGGAGGATAGGAGAGAATTGCTCCATAAAGTTCATGACTGATGGAATTTTGCTTCGGGAACTGCAGGTAAGATGTCAGTATTAATGTCTAGGTAAATTGAAATCTTCGTCCCTACCTTTTAAGTGCTTTATATTTTGTCCTTACTATGAAAAAGGGGGCACACCATTTGACTGCTAAATATTTAAGAAAAGGTTGAGAAAATTAGAGCAATACCTTGAATAGTGAAATAATTGAAACTTTATAAATTACTTTCAAAGAAGCAAGAGAGATGTTTCTATCAATTAGCTGTGTCTTGATTTCAAACTAGTTGGAGTTGGCTATATGAAGTAAAATCAGGATGCAGTTCAAAGCATGCTTGTGAATGCAACTATAATCCCATTGTTTTTGTTTTTAACTTCTTGCAGTTAGAGGGGGATAGTGCTGCAGGTTGAGGTCTCATTACAAAATTGTTAATATAATTATTTTTGGGAGAAACAATGGATTAGGCACTCCTAGTCATTTTTGCAATTTGCATATTGAGCCGAATAATGTTAAAAAAAACCCAATAATGTACAGTTCGAAATAATTTCAGTTTTATGTGAACAATTCACACATGGACATAAAACCAACTCCTAACTAATCCTTGATGCTTTCCTATAAACAATAGGATGACTATATGTAAAAAAAAATCCTTTTTATGTCATTAAAAGAAAAGGATTAATGTTCCAAAATGTTCGGACTCACCTGATGAAGCTATTGTTTGGTAGGGGGAAGTTGAGGGACAAAGAGCTCTACCCCTTTGGCGATCATAGTGAGGGTCATATATCAGTATATTCAAGGAGGATTTGTCCATTCAACTTTTGCGCAAGGAAAAAAGATCCTTTCATGCTTTTGTCGTTGTGGTTATGTTGCTTTCCAGTAATTCAGTGTCATACTCAACCAACTTTGTTGTTTCACTGGTGCAATGCCACTTTACATGAGATATTCAATCCATGCTCCTTTTTGTCCATTATAGATGGTTCCGTCTGGTTTTCTTTTATTCTTTACCAATTTGTGTTTAATAAGCATCAAGTTTTAAACTCAAGCGTTGCTGGACCTTGCTTTTCAGATATGAGTTAAAATTCTAATTGCATAAACTGGTATGTTGGAGTTATTTTTTGACAGGTAAGTGACTTTATTAAATTTTTTGGTATATGCTCTATGGAGTTAGAACCAAATAGTTGAATGAAATGAATTAACGATTAGTCTAGGACGACGAACATGGATCAAGAGTGTCTATCAAGTCCTTTTTCTTCTTCACTTCAAAGAGGCAATGCACCCTTTGTTTGAATGTTACTTGTTCATAAAGATTGATTTTTTGAAGTTATACATTCTTCTTCTTCAAAAAAAAAAAGGGTTAGGCGCGAAGGAATAGATATTTGCTATTTGTAGCAGTACCAAATGATCACTTGTCTTACTTGCCTTAGATCCTGCATGTTAGGGTTGTCCATTGAAGCGCAGGTTGTCCTATGATTTGTTATACTTTAAGGGGAAAAAATGATGTGACTGCAAAGATTTAGTTGTTGCTGTCTTCTAATTTATCTTTTGAGCAATTTGAATTTCCTACTGTTAGTTTTCTTGAATTTGTATTTGGCTAAGCAAGTTTATATAATCTTCTTTTGATTTTCTCCTCCCTGACCCTCCACTTTTATGCAGAATGATTTTCTTTTAAGGCGTTACTCGATCTTAATCTTGGACGAGGCTCATGAGAGGAGTTTGAACACTGATATACTTATCGGTATGCTTTCTCGTATAGTAAGAGAGCGTCAGGTGAGAAAATAGTTTGCTATCTCCATAAAGTTGGTTGTCATTTCATTATTCATAGGTGGCTTTAAAAATACTAGTGGTTACTCTCTAAGACTCCAGTTCTCCTTGACTCTCCCCATCCCCCTCCTTTCTTTTAATTACCTTCCTTTGACTTCTACGCTTTTTGACGTTTTTGATTATGTGCTTTATTGCAGAGAGAATATGAGGAGCAACAGAAAAAAGTTCTTTCAGGACAAACGGTAAGCCCTGAAGAGAGAGTATATCCACTGAAACTTGTGCTGATGAGTGCTACACTTCGAGTTGAGGACTTTATATCTGGGAAAAAGATTTTCCGTGATCCTCCGCCTGTAATGGAAGTCCCCACTCGCCAATACCCAGTTACTGTTCATTTCTCCAAGAGAACTGAGATGGTGGACTATGTCGGCCAAGCATATAAGAAAATATTGTCAATTCACAAGAGATTGCCACCTGGTGGTATACTTGTATTTGTGACAGGGCAAAGGGAAGTTGAATACTTGTGTCAGAAGCTGCGCAAAGCTTCTAAGGAGATAGTTGAGAGAGCTTCCAAAGTGGATAATCAGACGTCTTTGGTATCTGAAGGGAATACCATCGAGGAAAATGTTATCAAGGAGATAAGTGAGGCATTTGATGATGAAAGGAGTTCTATGACTGAGATAACTGAACGTTTTAATTCCTATGATGAGGATCACGGGGAGATCTATGAATATGAATCAGAAATTTCCTACGATTCAGCAGATGATAGTGATTTGGATGTTTATGGTGATGATGCACAGTTGTTAAACCAGAAGTCTCTGAGCTCTGATGGTAAGTTAGATGTTTTAGGTGAGGAGGGAAGCCTTACATCACTGAAGGCTGCTTTTGAAGCTTTGGCTGGTAAAAGGACATCACAACCTGATTCTGGCGAACAGGAACTTGTTCCTATCAGTGAAGAAGGAGCTTCAAATGAATCTGAACCTCTCTTAAGTAAGGTTAGGAATGGGGCTAATGGAACCTTTGCTGGTCCGATGTGTGTTTTACCTCTTTATGCTATGCTTCCTGCATCTGCACAGCTTCGCGTGTTTGAAGAGGTCAAGGAAGGAGAACGCCTAGTTGTTGTTGCCACTAATGTGGCTGAAACCTCATTGACAATTCCCGGTATTAAATATGTGGTTGACACAGGCAGAGAAAAGGTCAAAAAGTACAACTCTTCCAATGGTATGGAAGCTTATGAAATACAATTTATAAGTAAGGCTTCAGCTGCTCAGCGTGCAGGAAGGGCTGGAAGAACAGGTCCTGNAAAGTACCAGTTGATGGTGTTGTCCTACTTCTGAAGTCCATGCATATTGATAAGGCAAGTTTCTTGCTTGAAATAGGTTATTATTCTTTCTGTTCCAAGACTTGGTTGAAAGGATATGATCTTGGAGTATTTGCCAAAGTCACCAGCATTGAAGATGTGTTTTAATGAAGTTCACACACCTTTGCCTGCAGTCCTGTAGGTTGTAAATGCTGTCAGGCCCTCCCCTCCCCCCTGCCCCAAACAAAACAAGTTATTTCATAGATTGAAAAAATTATCAGCTGGTCGACTTCCTCACTCCCACCCCAATTTTTTTAAAAAAAAAGGAAACTGTCACTATTTGTCATGCTCCTTGCTTGCCTCTAGCAGATTGATTTTTCTTCTAGGTGGATCTGTATGTGTCTTGGTATTTATTGATTACCACCATTAATATTTATCCTTTGTTATCTCAGGTTGCTAACTTCCCTTTCCCAACTCCTCCTGAGCCAACTGCCTTAGTTGAAGCAGAGCGTTGCTTAAAGGTTCTTGAAGCACTTGATAGCAAAGGAAGACTGACACCTTTAGGGAAGGCCATGGCACAATATCCAATGAGTCCTCGCCACTCCCGTATGCTCCTTACAGTAATCCAAATTATGCAAAAGGTGAAAGATTATTCCCGCGCAAATACAGTCTTGGCTTATGCAGTTGCAGCAGCTGCAGCTTTGAGCTTGTCAAATCCTTTCCTTATGGAGTTTGAAGGAAACTACAAAGATCCAGATGGCTTGAAACAGGATGAGAAACCAGGCTCAGTGGAAAGCGAGCGAGACTTAGGAAAAGAGGAAAGAATGAGGATAAAAAAGCTGAAAGAAATTGCTAAAGTGTCTCGTGCAAAATTTTCAAACCCCACTAGTGATGTTCTAACGGTAGCATATGCTCTACAATGTTTTGAACTTTCTGGTAAACCACTGGAATTCTGCAATGACAACACCTTACATTTTAAAACAATGGAGGAAATGTCCAAGTTGAGGCGGCAGCTCATTAATCTTGTCTTTAACTCCAAATTATGTGATTCGCAGCAAGATTTCTCTTGGCGTCACGGGACTTTGGAAGATGTAGAATGTGCTTGGAGGATTCCTTCAAACAAATGCCCTCTTCAACTGAATGAGGAGGAGATTTTGGGCCAAGCTATTTGTGCTGGCTGGGCTGACAGGGTTGCTAAACGCATTAAAAATGTTTCATCCTTATCGGAATCTGACAGAAAAGTTCATGCTGTTCAGTATCAGGCTTGCTTGGTAAAAGAAATCGTATTCCTCGGTCGACGGTCATCTATTTCAAAATCTGCCCCTGAATATTTGGTCTACACTGAACTACTGCATACAAAAAGACCATTCATCCAAGGTGCAACTAGCGTGAAAGAGAATTGGCTTGTTAAATATGCTCCATCCTTGTGCAGTTTTTCTGCACCTCTCTCAGATCCAAAACCTTATTACGACCCGCTGAATGACCAGATCCTCTGTTGGGTCAGTCCAACTTTTGGTCCTCATCTATGGAGGCTCCCTCTGCATAGTTTGCCAATCGAAAATGATATGAGCCGGGTGGCAGTATTTGCTTGTTCCTTGCTTGAAGGCAAAGTTCTGCCATGCTTAAAATCTGTACAAAAATTCTTGGCAGCCTCGCCAGCTAGCATTTTGAAGCCTGAGGCATCAGGTCTTAAGCGGGTTGGAAATCTTTTAAACAAGATGAGGACCAAGAAGAGAACGATTGATAGTTGTGCCATGCTAAGGAAATTGTGGGATGATAATCCTCGAGAATTGTTTTCAGAAATTTTGGATTGGTTTCAGCAGGGATTTCATGACCATTTTGAAGACCTTTGGGCAAAGATGCAACTTGAAGTATTTTTAGACCCAAAAAAACGGCTTTCCAAGAAGGTCAAGAGAGAGAAAAGGAACCCATGAACTTTCTATGATTAGGGATATTATATGCCTTTCAGAATCTAAGCTGGATGGAGAGATGCAGAGGTGGGTTGAGGTTACTGATTTGGAAGATGGGATACTGTTTGTGGGGGATAATTGTACGTTTTCTGCATTAGTTTCTGAGGTTGATTGTGGGTGTAAAGGGAACTGTATACTGTTCACCGATCAGTTTTTTTGTAGCACGGAAGATGATGGAGGAATGTGGAAGAATTACGGGATAGGGTTGTTTAGTTTGGATAATGGCAGCATTGGTCCAATTAGTAGTTACAATGGCTATGCTGAGTTGTTTTGGCCTCCTCCTTCTTGGATTTGTTCTCCTCAGCCTATTGATGTAAGTGGTGTTGCTGTTGTTTCTGTTTCAGGTCTGATTGTCTTTACATTGCTTATCCTATAGGATTGTGCATTTGATTTGGCAATGTGATGCTTTTATGTTTATTTCTTGCCTGCTGGTTCTTGTGATGGTAGATAGAGGTTCTTCTTTTTGCTCTTTTGTGCATTGGTCTGTATGAAACAGCCTCTCTACATTCACTGTAGGGGTAAGATGTGCGTACTATCTACCCTCCCCAGACCCCACTTGTGGGATTATACTGGGTTTGTTGTTGGTGGTGGTGTGCATTGGTCTGTATACATATCTCACTGGTTTATCTGTCCATCACCATGTTATCTCGATTTAGAATAGTGTTAGACCTATTATTTTTGGATGATACTCTGGGAATTAGATTATTGAAATAGTTAAAGATGGATGAACTAGCTATTAGCCTTCCTGTGAAAGAAAATAGTATTTCAACTTAAACAATGTAAACACTGCTGCCCCAGCTCCTTGGTGAAAAATATTATGCAAAACTACCGGAAATGCGTTATGTATTTACTGGCTAAGAATCATTCCGTCTTGAAAATTATTTCATTTTTTCAACTTCAATTCAAATCAATTACTTATTGTTTTGCATTTTGGTCCTTTATATCAATGTCAACTTAGAAACGGGGAATTTGAAGCTGAGACACTAGTTTACCCCTTTTCAACGTTCAACTTCATATACTCTATATTTTTTCTAACTTCAACCAAATATGCTCCAAACGCCTAATGTTATGGCAACTCCCCGTAAAACGGGAAGGTTGGGGTTACATTCTGCTGCCGCAGCAACTATTCTGCCTTTTCTTTTTCACTGTCTAAGGGCTTAAAATTTTATCTTCTTTTAATTACATTTGCTATTTCATGTAGGCTGAGCTGAATGAGCTGAAAATCTAAATCTCTTGGAGCTTAATGGAGAAACAACAAGCTAGCCAAAGCTGATGATATGCTGGAAACTGTACATATAGTTTTCTTTAGAAATTGACATTTAGCTCAAGGTTTAACCTGCAAAGCAACGTGCTTATGATGCACCGGCTTGCACAAACCAATGAATAAGTCGTTAAATTATTTTCATCGTTGGTATTATGGTAAAGAAAAAAGGATCTTCATGTGTTTTTAACTCAATGTGGTTAGCATCAGTTCCACCTTTCTTATTTTAACCATGGTTTCAACTACTGTCAGCATAAGCTTATTTACCAGTAAATTTTAAGAAGCATGAAATTCAATTGCATTGAGTTCTGAGACTTGGCAGGTTAAAAATATTTTACAAACAAACTAAGGGGTTCGTTTGGTTTGAATACGGCTTATGCCGGGATAAGTTATGTTGGGATTAGTTATCCTGGTATTGTTTTGATATGTTGTATTAAAAATGACAATTGCATAATTTCTAAGAAGAATGTATAAGTTATCCCGGCACTAATTACCCCACCCTCTGCAAGGTATAAGATATCCCGGTACTAATTTTAATCCCGGGATAACTTATACCAGGTTTGCTAACCAAATAAAGTATTAAGATGATATTAAATTTTTATACCAACACTATATCTTCTTATACCTCGTACCAAACGACCCCTAGTTGAATTCTTTTCATCTGCTTTAGCATTGGTGGGCGGCAAGTATTCAATGGAATAGTCAGATGTTGCGCAAAGTGGTCCCGACACCCTTAAATTTTACTTCTAAATAGCCTATGAGCATTGCCTCTCGCGAGGAGCGAGACATCTTAATTGCTGTTTTGGGATAGGATTTTAAGCGTTTTCCTATGTATGTTCTAATTACTTTTGGCTTCTAATTCAAGAACAACTGTGTTAATCCAACATCAATAAGGCCTGAAAACTTATTGATATTGGATTTGCAAACCTTATTACCTAGTGTTAGTTGGATTTGGAGTCCTTGTCAATGTTGGTTTGGGAGATGTAATTGGAATTGGGATGGGAAAAAACTATTACAAAAATTTTGTATGCCCCTCTACTTCCAAGAGGAGTTGCTCTGATGGTAAGCAACCTCCACTTCCAACCTCCACTTCCAACAATGTATAAGTCTTCCCAATAGCAAGGTGGTAAGTTCTTGGAGGGAATGATGTCGGAGGTCTATTTGGAAACCTCGGGAAAACCATGAAGAAGAATGAGTACTCAGAATTAGATTCCTTGACCAACTCGTGCCTTCCAGATGAAATCGTCTTCCGTGCCGATTCGCCATCGGGATTCCGTGCCGAATGATTCGAATTTAATGTTTGAAAGTCGCTCTTCCCGCATAAGCCAGAGTAGTCAGGGCTTATTTCTGACACAATCATCAGATTCTCCTGTGAGATACTGCTTACGCCACCCTTTATTGCACCAAACTATTGATATTCCCAGTCCACATAGCCCTAGTTTGTGCATCGCCTTGGACTTAGTTCCCTCTGTCCAAGCTGTCAAGTTGCTCTCCGTTCATGAAGATCATCATCATCAATCACTCGGTTATGAAATTCTTAGCGTTGGATTTGTTGGCAATAGGTATTGGTGGAGAGCTGTTGAGGTGCCTAACCGCAATAGGAAGAGGGAGAGAATTCAGGTTTTCTTTGGAAGAGGAGTTGCTTATTGCATTTGGTTTGTTGAAACTGCAGGCGGCCAGGACGATGTTGATATTTTGAATATGGAGAATGAGAGCTATATCGGTCATACTACTTTTCCTAAAAGTTTCTTCCCAAAGTTGAGCAGTACTAATCTCTTAGATTGGAGAGGATGAGCTGCATGTGTTGGTTTTAGAAGATCACAAAAAACTGAAATGGGCGGAAAGCAAACGCATCATCAGGCAGCTGCCATTCTATAAAATTACGGATACAGTCGTTTGTGCTGACAAGTCTAGTTTGTTCTTTCTTCGGAAAAACAAGATTTGTGACGACAAGGAAAATGAGACATCTGATTATCACCTGGAAAATAATCTCTATGACTGGGAAAAAGAGACATCTGATCTCTGCAACTATGACATTGATACTAGCAAGTTAACTACTCTGCTGCCCGGCTACTTTGAAATTCGTGGTGCTGAACTTGCCGCTATCATCACGATGCATCTTCATGTCTAACTGTTTACCCTAAAAATTAGATAACAATTAAACTTATAATGTGGTTTTAAGTATACGTAGTTTCACCTAATACCAATTGATTAACTTAAAGATAAGTGATGGGCATTGACAAGAATGTAAAACAAACCAATGCATGGACAGTGCCCTCGAGCTGATGAACCCTCGAGCTTAGTAAAGTAAGAACAATTAAAGAACAACAAGTTGATAAACCAGAGAAAAAGAGAAATATTATATTGCCTTAATTTGTATGAATGTAACATGTTTACAAATGATGGGGACTCCCTTTATATAATAGAGGAGTCCTAATTAAGGTATAACTCTAATTACAGAAGTAAATCCCATGATTGACACAAATAACTGCCCTTGATTTGATCCGTTCCGAGATTTCCGCCATGATACTCGACCGGTTACGGATATCTCGCTTTTCCATAACTGTGCTTCGTTCAAAGTCTGTCACATATGGCCTTGGTTGCTATACCTCTCGGTTTCGACGAGCACTTCGATCTTTAGACTCGATGCCTCGTCTTCGAGCCCGGGTCTGATTCATTACGAGGTTACCCCATATGCAACCTTGTCTCGATCAAATAGCAAAATCGGGAAAGAATAGGAGAAGAAGGGATATTCCAGGCTAATATACTCAAATATGCACTTAAAAGGCTTCTGAATTCGACTCTTTTAAACGTTTCTCACGCACAACAAATTTTCATGCTAGAAATGCCTTTTTCATATTCCAACAGGGCATAGTGTGGGACACTAAACAGATTGGAGACGATAAAAGTAAGACGATCATTATTGGAAAATTTGGAAGTACGCCCCACAGCCCATTAGAGATGGTGAACTGAGGGTGATAATAATTGAGATATTTGGTTAAGTACTAAAAACACCTACTTAGCTTCCGGCTAGTATGTCAGAGTGCAAATATTGTAGACTGAAATATAAAACGTTATGCCACGGAGCAATCACCATTAAGATGCAATCACTTTGCTACATCTCATGGTAGCCAGTCAAGCAGCAATTTCTTCTTTCTATACCACAAGAAAGCTGCTATCTTTCACTTGCCAGGCGAAAACTGTGCAACTACATTAATGCTATCCTTCTCAATGTAACAACCGATGAAGATCAGGTTGAAAATTTTAAACAACGCACTACCCTAAAAGAAATATACATGATAAAGAGCAAAATCGAGATCACGGCAGCCTCGACTAGTCATCTGTTAGTTCTCTCAGTCTCGTTCAGGAGCATCCTTAGAAGGTCTTCTTGCACTAAGGTTCCCTGCATATGACCACAATTTATCCAAATCAGTTGGCATCGCTTTCTCCAGTTTATCCATTGGTGGTACCTTGGAACCAGCCTTAGAAGGAGAAACTGCCTTCCCTGGGCTACCAATCAGGGGAGATAAGCAAAAGGTTGGTGTAGCAAATGGAGAGGCATAAGGAGAGTGCTGAATAGAAAAAGGGCTTGGTGACATCCGCTTTTGGACTGGAAGACCACCCAAACCTCCCCTATTGAAAAGGGATATGGACTCTGCGGCAGCACAGCGTTTTGTTGCATCATCTACATATAATACATCATCAATTCTCGCCATTATGTTAAATGCCAAGCTCTCCATGACCCTTGAGTAGCTCTCAAGTATTGACTGCCCAACATCCTGCAGTAGAACACATCACGTTTTCAGAGAGCAGAATAGATAAAGACAGTTGTGTCCCCTATCTAGCCAATTGTTATTGCATTTGCGATAAGTGGACTAAAGATTCATTTCCTCTCTTCTCACACTACTTTATATGCTGCTTCTGATGCCATAGAAACATTTCACGAAATCACTATTCAAGATATAGAAATAGTACCAAGAATAAAGTTCCATAACATTAGATTAAAGGTACTCTTCACATCTTGAGGCCATGTATAACTAGAATTTCCGCTGCCTAAACACCCCATTGCATAGTCAGTTATTATAAAGCAAGAAATGACTCATAATAATTCTTTTCTCAAAATAAATATGGCACTATGTCTCCTATCTGCTCTACTTGTCACTTGCTCTACATAAGAGTTTGCATCACCTACCTTGTTATACTGTATCTTGTTCATGTCAAGTGAAGTTTGAGGAAGACCAGGGAAGCGAAGCCTGAGACTATGCAAGAGTGTTTCTGCTCGTTCTGCCAGATACTGATTCTTATCACCATCTCCAACAAGGCCCTTGACCTTCCCTCCCCATGATTTGCGTTTAGATTTCCTTTTATGTGGATGTTTCTTCTGGTCCTTGAGCGTCCAAACATGCACAGCAGCCTCAATTCTATTTGCCACTTCCAGCGTATGGTGCTCCGATGACAAGTCCAGGCAATCAAGAAGACATTCAGGTGAGAACTTGTCAGCAGTGATGTAGCGATAGATGATATCACCTAAACAAGCTTTTCCACTCTGCAATAAGAATTTAAGAAACACTTAAAGAAATGAGCAGTTGCAACTGACAAGTAAAAGAACAATTCTTTTCATCAAACATGTACTCTTAATTGTCCTCGGGAGGATATCTGAATACCCATATGCAGACAGCAAGCATTAACTTGCATTATACGTGCTCCCAAACTTTGAGAAGAATGTTCATTCAATGTTCGAGTGCATGCACTTAAACAGCTAATCTTGATGAAGAATAAAGCCACATATAAATGGTACTAAATGCTCGAGAAGCTCCTTGTCAAAGGGATGGGCCCAAAAGCTGTTGGAACTACACAAGGATAACAGCTGTGAATGCAGGGAAAAAAGAAAGGAATTATCTGAAAATTAATTTTCGAGATTCTTTATATAACAAGGAAACTTTATTTTGTTTCCTTTAACCAGTATTAAATGCTCAAGAACCTCCTTCCCAGAGGATGGTCCAAAAAGTTGTTGGAACTATATGAGGAGAAGAACTGCGAATTCAGGGAAAAAGGAAGCAGATTTTCTGAAAATTAATATTAGAGATTGTTTGATATAATAAGGAAACTTCATTTTGTTTCCTTTAACAGGTTTTTCTTTTCTATACCATCAATTTTAGACCAAATTTACATTAGACACCAGGGAACCTACTTCAACTCATTTTTTGGAAGTGATTTAAATAATACAGCAACAATAACGAGTGGTGCGCAATGAAGAAGGCAAAAGAATCACAGCAAGACAAGATATAGTATTTAAAATAACTGACATAGGCTGTGTATACCAGCCCTTTTTTCAGATTAAGGCATGCCAGTAAATTTAACTTTAAGTAAGCCATTCAACTGGATTCCAACCTTCGGCAAAGTTTCGACATAGGCACTTGGAGTCTCCATCTCAGCAAGTACATTACTGTTGATCGCCAATGCTGCCTTCAATATCTGGTTTGTGCAATCCCTACATTGTTGCAATCTCTTCCTAGCTTCTTCTGACAACCCTTTGGGGGGAACTTTAGGGCATGGCAGCCACCACTTCTCTTCCTGCCGAACTGAAGGCCTACCAAACCCAATGCCCGAAGTATAGGAGTCACAGTCTTCTCCATCACCTAAAACTATGCCTCGATCCACATGCCAAAACTCTGTGTCACGAAATCCATCAAGTATGCTAATCAACATGGCATCAAGTTTCTTCAAAGCAGGCAAGTTCAGATATAAATCAGAACGTGGTTGCGTCGCCATTACTTCATACGTGCCTCCTCCAGGAAACTGTTGAATAGAAGGCACAAGCTCCACAATAGAGTCACTCACACACAACAACCACTCCATTTCCCTACACCACATTGCCTTCTTTTGAGCAGCCAATGGTTCCAACCTCCATAATTCCCCAAATATAGTAGCTACAGTCATCACACACAAAAAAACCCAATTTCAATACAAAACCAGATGTAGAATTTTAATCTCTTTTTTCTTTTTTCTTTTTACACTAACCAGATAGATTTGTGATAGCGTTTGAGATTGCAAGTGCCGTACAAACCCCTTTACCCCCTCCAGACATGTCCTCACCAAGTAACAGCTTAGCAAATCTCTCCTTCATCAGATCAATTTCTAAATCAAACAAAACCCAAAAAAATCAAAACAATAACCTACATACTATAAAAATAAGAATAAAGGTACAACAACAGTAAATGTAACACACATCAACATATGAAGTAACAAATCTAGTCAATAAAGGCAATAATGAAGTCCATTACAATCTCTACAAGTCAAATTTCATAAAATGCACAAACCAGATAAATCTGCTTGGCGTTTCTCGGACTTGTCATTACAGAGCACTACATCTTTCCCGCCAATGACCGGGAACATGAATGGTGGTATCATTGGGGCTGGGAACTCCGATTTTGCGGCGAATCTCCGACAAGCGAGTGGAGACGACGCCATAGAGCTGGACGCGCCCTCAGCGTCATAGCGCCGACAGGAGAAACTGCTAGAAGAACTTTCGGACTCACTCACATCAGCACTTAAACTGTAGCTCCCACACCGCTCACTCTGCTGATCTGAACCTTCTTCAGATGATACACTCCCCATAGTAAAATCCCAACACCCACAATTTTTGTCTAAAATGCAGTAGTAAAAAGCAAGATGCTAGATGCAAATGATTGTAATAACAATGAAGTAAACGGGCTAAAATGGACAGACAGATTGTAAAGATATGGCAGTGGAGTTGGAGGAGGAAATGGTGGAGAATGAAAAAGTGAAAGAGAAGATAAAGCAAAGAGAGCAGGTTCACATACAGTAGTAGTACTATTTCACTCGCATTTTCTCTCTCTAACAAACACTGTGAAAAGAGTGGTGCGTACTGTACGATAAGACTATGAGAGAGAAAATGAGACGGCGTTAATAGTGACGGCGTCCGTTTAGGTAAAAGAAAAGAACGGCGTTACTTGACGACAAAAGGTTACCCTGCCTACTATAGTAGCTACCACCCGACACGGTCCTTTTCTTCGTTACGGAGCACTTGCCTTTGCCAGTTGCCAGTTGCCAGTTGCCACCTCATCCCCTGGAATTTTGATGACTTGGGTAAATTTAGCGGATGTGTCTTAAATATGAATTTTAAGAAAATAATTACTTAGCAAAAATATGGTGAAAACTTAATCCAACTTGGTTATTTATCCGAAATAAATAATTAAGTTACATTTTAAATATTAAAATCACTTAATCATGATAATTTTTTTAGCAAAAAAGATTGTCGTACAATGTGCCAGATATAATCTACCCATGAATTTTGATGTTTGCTAAAATATATCCATGTAATTTATCCATTAATTAAATTGAGACAATTTTTAAATTATATGATTAATTATTTAATTACCGGATAATTAGCCATTATCTAGTTAACCAATAAATGAATAAGAATTACATGTGGCAAGAAGCCACAATTCAAGAAATGACTAAATAGTCATTTATACCATGTGGCTACCTAAGGAATTAACCAAAATAAGACTTATAATCAAGTCTTATCTCATCAGGATCAAAATCTTTTAAGGGTCATTATTGATGGGTCATTTGGTACTTCAAAATTCAAAGGAGCAGAAGCTCACTTCGTTCTTCAAAATTCAAAAGAGCAAAATCTCATTTCGTTCAAGAAAAATTCAAAGAAGCAGAAGCTTATTTTCGTTCAAAAATACCTTAGCGTAATTCCATCAAAATTTTGCGGCTACAAAAGAGTACGGTGTAATATTCGCCAAGAATATTATACGGAGTTTTCCCTACTCCAAGTATATTAAGGCTATCTCTTCTTTTTTTTGGCATGATCCATACAATACGAACGAAACATGTAAATGCACAAATTTAATGAATAACTTTATTCATAGAAGTATTAGAGATATCTATGTACTTGAATTTCCGTGTGTCATAATATTTTATCTTCTGCTTGTGGGTCTCAGAATAATACGCAGTTGGAAAAATTTATCCGGAAGGAATATTGAGATTATTACGTATTTTTCATGCATTTCATATATGTGCATTGACCCATGATCAGATGGCGTTATATACGCGTATATATTTAAATATATGTATATGGGATATGGGAAAAGGTTACGACGTTATATACGCACCACCACCTGATCATCTGGTATATGATGATGATGTTGCCCACAGTGGCTAAAATATGATTCAAACGGCGTTATATACGCATATATATGTATGTATATGGGATATGGGAAAGGTTATGGCGTTATATATGCACCACCACCTGATCAGTTGGTATACAATGATGATTTTGCCCACAGGCCGATATGATATGATGGGATGCCCTCAGAGGCTGATGATGTTATGAAACATGTACCTATGCACGACATGACATTCATGTGCATATGCATGACGCTAAAAGTAATTCATGATTTACAAAGTTATTCAGACTTACAGGTTGAGTCATGTACTCTATATTTCTTCCAAGTATCTTATGTATTTATTTATGTGTCTTACATACTCGGTACATTATTAGTACTGACGTCCCTTTTGCCCGGGGACGCTGTGTTTCATACCCGCAGGTCCCGATAGACAGGTCGAGAGCCCTCCAAGTAGGCTATCAGCTCAGCGGAAGATGTTGGTGCACTCCATTTGCTTCGGAGTTGCTTGTTTGGTTAGTATGATTTAGACGTGTATTGTTTGGTATGGCGGGACTCTGTCCCGACCTTTATGACATTTATGTACTCTTAGAGGCTTGTAGACATATGTCGTGTACGTGAAAGATTATACGGCCCTTTCGGCCTATGTTTTGAGTTTATAAATGATCATGTTGTCCTATTAGGTCCGTATGTCACGTGTATATGATGATGTAATAAGAAAGATACGTTACGTTGGTACTCAGTTGAGTAAGGCACCGGGCGCCCGTCGCGGCCATCGGTTTGGGTCGTGACAACTTGGCTCTCCTTCCCTTACTACGCTGCTCTCATGTCTCGCGTGGGTTGGATTCTCTCTTCGTGCTTCTGTTGGTGGGTGATTGTGTTTCTTAGCTTTGATCTTGGAGAAACTAGGAATTTTCACTAAGAAATCCCCACAGACGGCGCCAAATTGTTTGACTCAAAAGATATTAAAACTTTTTTGAACAAATCAATCAAAGATGAAGGGGTAAATCTTAGTCAAACATAATTAATTCCAGATCGAAAAGTTAACAACAATAATCGCATATGGGGTGAAAGAGATATGATTGATCCTATTAAGATTCGACATTGTCTTTCTCATCAATCGATGAGGAAGCAGATTTACACATTTTCTTCGAGGTAATTTCCTCATTTTCTAGAATACAAGAAGGGAGCTTTTTGTCTTCCTTTTGAGAAATCGGAGAAGCCCCCCAAGTTGAGAGCTTTCCCTGGCTATATATAGTTAGGGTATCCTTGTCCTTTGTTTGACTCGACATTTTCTTGCCACTGATGTGTCTTGGTCATGATTTTAGGCGCCACTCTTACCGATTCATCAGATGCCATAGAAGAGAAATGGAGTGGGCTCTGTTGATCTTCACTGCCCAGTTACTGAGACGGGGTATCGGTCAGCTTGGTCGTGATGGTCAGATTTTGACCAATACATATACCAAAAATGGTAAATACATGACATGTGCATGTGTTGCAAATATATATTTTTATTTAATTATAATTAAGTAATATATTTCTACTGTAATTTTTAATAACTAAAGTTAGTTGTTGGTTTAAGGTAAAACTTTGAGTGCGAGTTTTACTGAATATTACGAGGCCATGACTTAAAGTCGTACATTCACATCTCTCCAAGAATCCAAAAGGTTAGACTAATTTTTTGCTCTGCCTTCCTTAGGGAATTGGTCTTCATGCACGGAGCTTTCTCTTGTGGATATTATTTCTAATTAAGATTAAGAGCCATAATCAATATTTTTTTGTCAAACACAGTGTTCAATAAAAATATAAATATTTCTATTTATAAGTTTGTCTAAAGTGTATTATCACTAAAAATTTACACACATTTGGTGTTTACACCAAAAATGGTAAATACATAACATGTAAAAGTGTTGCAATAGCACATTTTTATTTAATTATAATTAAGTGATATACTTTTACTATAATTTTTAATAACTAAAGTTAGTTGTTGGTTTGAGGTAAACATTGAGCTCGAATTTTTACTGAATATTACGTGACCATGACTTAAAATCGTACATTAACATCCCTCCAAGAGTCCAAAAGATTAGACTAATTTGTTTGCTATGCCTTCCTTAGGTTGAATTAATTGAAATTATAGAATGTTATTTAAGTCTAACAAAGAATGCTACGTAAATCACTGCAAGAAGTCATAAATAGCGGGAATTGAAAAGGCCCAAAAAAAACAAAAAAAACAAAAATATATCCGGAGGGAATTGCGTGTGAAATAGACGAAATCGATACGGCGGTTATAGTGAAGAAAACCAAATTAAAAACGTGTACTTGCGATAAAGAGGGTATTTGGCTAAGCTTATATATATGTCCTTGTGATAAAAAAAGTGTTTGGCTAAACTTATAAGCTGGTCAAACTAGCTTATAAGCACCTTTTGGCTTATTTATGCGTTTGGTAAACATTCAAAGTGTTTATAAGCCAAGTGCTCATAAGCTAAAATCAGCCATAAGTCGTAAGTTGTCACCCTCAACATATGAATTTCTTGACTTTCTCTTCATTTCATATTCGTTGTTAATTCTTTTATTATAATTTTTTGAAAAAATATCAAGGGTATTTTAGTCATTTTAACAAAAGAACAGCTTATCAACAATTTTAATCAAACACATCAATTGTTTATTATCAGTTTCAACTCTTTTATCCAAACACGCAAATGCTTATTTTAGAAAAAATTTGCAGCACTTAAAAAACTTTTAAGCACTTCAAGCTTATCAGCTATTTACAATCAGCTAATCCAAGCGGGCTAAAAGATATTATAAGTTCTCCTTCTCCAAGACGAATCTAGAATTTAAACTCTATAGGTTTAACTTTTACTTTTTTAGTATTGAACCCATTATAGTTTTAAAGTTATGAGTTTATATCTACTACTAGTGAATCAACTCGCGCTTCGCGCGAATTATTAGATCTTATGAATCCCAAAATTTTAAAATTCCTTTTTTTTTAAATTCAAATATTTCAAGTTTTAACCAATTATATTATCCACACTTAGCTTTAAAAGAATTTCAAGAAAAACTTCTTCTGTGCGTATGTTTAACAAATTCAAGACATGATTAGTTCGTTGTACATTTTTTATGTGCATATAAATACTTAATTATATGAATCTGTTATATAATTTTTATTTTTTATTTTCATTTCTTTTCCTTTTTAAACCCTTTATCTTTAACTTTCTCCTTTTTTTCTTCCCCCCCCCCCCCCTTCTCTACCCATTCATTTTCTTTAAATATGTCAGAATCTTTTTTCCTTTCTTCAACGGTCTACTATAAAGATAACTAACCAAAAGATATTAATTCTCAAGTCTTAACATACACTATGAAAAAAGATTTTAAAATAGTGCATAAAAATATACTCCATTATAGGATATGATTATTGTTACGCATTGATTATCCAATTTAATTAGTGAATACGAAGAGAATCAGTTTAATTAGAGAACAAATAGTTAGCAACATGAAAAGCACCAACATTTAATAATTTTTCTTTTTTGATCATTGGACTTAAACAAATTTTCTTAGAATCCATATATTAATTTGATGCATGTCTTCTTTGTGCTGCTAGCCACATCCTTATTTTTCAATTTCGTTTTACCATTTGACCGTTTTAATGCTTCCCTTGTGAATTATGTTTGGTTTATGATTATTAGGTAACCATGAAGATGAATCTTTCCAT